CAAGAATACACAAAAGAACTGGACAAAAAAGATCTTCATGACCCAGATAATCAATGGTGTGATCACTCACATAGAGCCAGACATGGAATGTGAAGTCAAGAGGGCCTTAGGAAGCACCACTAGGAACAAAGCTAGTGGAGGTGATGGAATTCCAGTTGAGCTATTTCGTATCCTAAAAGATGATGCTGTGAAAGTGCTGCACTCAGCCGCTAGCACCCATATGTTTTACTTTTAATGTATCTCGAGACATGGGAGAAACAAAGCATGAACCTTCTCCCCAAAGAAACATGCCCCTTTGAATCCCTCCTAAGGAACTGTGGTGTTGGAGAAGACTCTTGAGAGTCCCTTGGACTGCAAGGGGATCAAACCAGTCCATCCTAAAAAAATCAGCCCTGAATATTCCTGGAAGGACTGATGCTGAAGCTGAAGCTCCAATACTTTGGTCATCTTATGTGAAGGACTGACTCACTATAAAAGACCCTGATGCTGGGAAAGATTGAAGGTGGGAGGAGAAGGGGACAACAGAGGATGAGATGGTTGGATGGCAGTCTCACCGACTCGATGGACATGAGTTTGGGTAAACTCCAGGAGTTGGAGATGGACAGGGAAGTCTGGCATGCTGCAGTCCATGGGGTTGCAAAGAGTCAGGCACGACTGAGCATCTGAACTGAACTATGATTTCCTCCTGGACTTTTTTACTCTAAGGCACTAGGTTTTCCTGAATTCATGTCCTATTCTAGTGGCCTCTCCCCTTTCAGAAACTCTTAGGCAATAAAGCACAGACTCCATGGCACAGCAGCAGGGAGGACCACTACACTATGGATCATAGATCTTTCCTGTGATCTGGTAGTTGCTTCTATGGCCAATTGGCACATTTTCCTGGAAATGATCCACTGTCCATCTTGGAGGAAGGGATAAGCATCAAAGGCCCAAATCCAGTCACTGACTGTATAGATACTCCTCTTTCTATGGTCGGGGTGAGGGTACTCACAGCCCATGGGCAGTTAGGAAGATTGATAGGGGTGACTGGAAAACTTGGATGTCTGGGTGCATATTAATTTGCAACTTCTATGTGAAGTCACATACTCCATTAGATATTTCTCTGCTTTGCTCACTAGTTTCTGCTTTCCACTTTAAACAGTTCCCAGAGGCCAGGAGGTCATTTCTTAGAGTACATCTTTACACATTTCCTTAGCTATGGTTTTATAGGCAATGATCACACAGCCAAACTTTACTTAATATAGATTAGCAGGGGTTAAAGGATCAGTGCTATATTTATTGCATATTAATTATACTCGTCTTTTTTTTTTGCTTCTTAGATTTTGAAAGTCATACAACACTCTGAGTTAAGCATTGTCCAGGTCTTAGAAACATGTTCTTGCAAGAAAAACTCAAAAGCAAACAAAAGGTGATAAAATGAGTTTAGGGAAGGTGATGAAAAGCTCATTAGCAGTAATTTGCTCCATGAGTTTTTCCATGCCTGTTCTTTCATTATTTTTTGCCTACTGTCTTCTAGTACTAGATAGGCACCAATGAGATCAGCACTTCCCCATATCGTATCAGTAAAGCATATTTCTAGATAGACTTGACTGATTCTGAAATGCTATGCTTTTCTTGACTTCTCAAACCCAACAATTTGACTTTAGATTGGAGAAAATGAGAACAAATAATTTGTACTTCTAGTTCATACTCAACGATATTTTGTAACTTAGTTGTGATTTCTGACTGAGTACTCTAAATCAAATCCAGTGGCTACTACTAGATGATTAGATCTACATGGTCATGTTGATAACATTACTTTATGCACAGATAACACCTGCCATTTATTAACTTATGTATAGTTTTAACAATTCAACTGTTTAATAACTTAAAGTGATATACACATCAACAGAATAAACTGATTGGAGAGTATCACTTATTTTTTCTTGTATACACAATATATGGAGTATAGCAAAAAACCCAAACCTAGTTTCAATTTTGAATATCTTGTTACTACGTATTTGTGTATTCTTAAACACATATTTGTTATCTTTCTTCTATCTTCTTGGCTTCCTCAGGTTATTTTCATTGCTTCTTGCTGGGACCATCTGGTTCAGTTTATCCTAAGCTGCTAGTTGGAAAATAGGTAAAAACAGATGCTCAGAAGCAACTTTTTCTTCTGCAGTTCAGTAGTAAATGTCCTGCAGTGAACCCTGAGGTTACTCAGTTTAAGTCACTGGATCAAGTGCTTCGATCCAGGTTTCTGCATCTGTCTACATTATTTTCGGCTTATCCCATGACTGGTATCAGCTTTCTCAGTTCTCCCTTCCCTGCCAGGGTAGTGAGCCTAAAACTCTTTGTGTGAAAAAACCACATAAGAGAGTCTGCTAAAAATGCTTATCTCTTAGCCCTACTCTGGACCTTCTGAGTCTGAACATAGGTGGGTAAGGGTGAAAACTTTAATGGCAGCTGGTCCTCAGACCCTGCTCAGAGAAGCCAAGTGAATCTTAGAAAGAGCCCTAAAGCAACCCTCTAGTTTATAATTTTCTCACTTAAATCCTTTCCATTCTCTGAAGGGTAATATGGGTTGAAAAGTCCCTTATTACTTTAGCTCAATTTGAAATAGAAGATGAGTTTAAATAGTTAAACAATTTGCTTCACATGTTATCTCTATGCTATGATTAATTACAGAACATCCCTTTCTTGTTAATTCAGGGTCTCACGACCGAGAAACTGCCTTGACAAAGTAGTTTGCAATTTGGAGGTGGAGGTGGGTGTTGGTGGGAGGGGGGGTGGGGGGGTGGCAATTATCAAACCAACTATAGTGGTAATTATAGCTTACTTCAGAAGAGATCCTTCAAATGAATATAACCTTGTTGTCAGCTCAAGGATTTCATACATATTCTAAGAGTTAAAGAGCTGATTTTCTAGTGTTAATGAATTTTAAATTGATTTGTTGTATGTTAAATGACAGTGCCTACAAGAAACAACAAGAATCCCTTACTATTTCTACAGCTAATGATCCACTAAATAAAACCAACTAATGTTTTGGAGCCATTGTGAGTGGTAAATAACTAGATATAATCAGTCATCTCATATTTTTAGCATATTCAGTTGTGTTTCCCAGCAAGCAGAATTAGGAAAAAAGTAATATCATAAGGAGAAGCAGGTGCAATTTTCACTAGAAAACCTAGAAACCAGATGAAAAGTCTCAATGCTGAACGGTTGGAACTGAACTTCTTTGTCTTTCTCAAGTCATGGATACATGTTTAAAATGAACTCTTGAAAACCAAGGAAGAAAGTCACTGAACTACTTACAATGTCCATTCTGTAAGTCCTTTCTTCTCTTCTCTTCTGACTTCATTTTGGCCTTTATGTACCATTGACACCTTTATAAGAGGTAAACAGAATCTTATTTAGGAATTATGCTGGATAAGAACCAATATCAATTAAAATACTCCCCACTCATAGGCAAAAATTCTTATCATAAAGATAGCTTTTAGGAACAGCTTTATAGAAAATACTACATAGAATTTTTTTAATATATCAATATTAGCTCCAGAGAAAAATAAAATACTCTCAAGTAGATTGATTGATCCAAATGATGGGAGGCGTAGAAAACATTTAATAACAAGCAATGACAATCGTGTCTTTCCTTATACGGCCTCTAACAGCTATAGTTGATGAATAAACTTAAAAGTCACAATGGAAAAACTGTTCTTGATTCAGAAACTCAGAAATTTAGACAACTGTATTCCAGTTTCAGTGGTGAACAGCGTGTTTCTTTATTTTTCTTTTTTTAAATTGGAAGTGGTAAAAGTGTCTTCTGTTTTCTTAGAAAAACCATGTCCTGAAGAATGGAGGCAGGAACTTATCTCCTATGACTTCTTTAGCATGAAAAATTCATCAACATCCATATTATCTGACAGTTCATCAAACTGCTAATTCCAAGTGGTTAAACAGAATACATCTGTGGTGCACAATCTAATCTTTCAATGTGAATTTGGCTTCAGATCCTATGACAAATTGCATATTTATTCAAATGTCTTAAAATTTTCATAGAATAATTTCCAGTGAATGGTTCCCTAGCAAAGTGCTTAAGTCATGCTTCAGAATGAATGTTTTATCTTATGTAACTGAACTTTTTTTTTAATATAGAAAGTTAAGGAAGTTTCTGATGTCATATAAATTGGCAAACATGGAAATTGTACCCAATTATTTTCAACTTTCAATTTTTGTCATTATTAAATCTTTTTTTTTCATTTATTTTTATTAGTTGGAGGCTAATTACTTTACAATATTGTAGTGGTTTTTGTCATATTTTAATGGTACTCAAATTCTGTTTCAGGAATCCCAAATAAATATAACAGTCGTGCCTATCTCTCAGGTTTACCAGGCCAATCTTATTTAGCCGACAATGACTGTAAGGTCTTCAAGCTTGTCATATTTATGTATTAAGGCAGTATTTTCTGGTCTTTTAATGAAATACTTTTCTACATGTGTATTTAAATCATTTGCTGAAATGCTCAGTAGCAATAAGGCCTTAATTCATATTCTATAAATACATAAAATATAACTTAGAAATTGAACTAATTATGTTACACATTGAATAAATATAAATAAAATATAATTTGAATGAACTTCCATAATGAATTTAGAAGCATTCTTTAAAACTGATGATAAATGTGACACTGCTTAAATGAAGTCTGAGACACTATTAGCTGCAAGAGTGATGATTTGTCATAATAAAACTGTGTAAAAATATAAATCTAAGGTTTAGGTGGAAGCAGCACTTTGAGCAGCTGGTTGGGATTCAAGTCTAGGTCATTTGCTACATTAAATTTATTGTCATTTAAAATTCTTATCCATATTACACTTAAGCAGGAAAATATTGTAACTTGATTACATAACCAAATTAATGCAATTCTAATATCAATATGTTCAGTATTTAATGGATAAAATTTTTTCTATAATATTAAGTTTATAAAGCACTTTTATATAAATTGTTCAATTTCTTTGTTGAACTACTTTTTTTTCCCAAGCAAAATCCATTTAATGATATCATTTGATTGTAGTAAAGGAAAAACTCAGAAGTCACTTATTGAATAGGCTTTTCTCATTCACTGTTTTAAAGTGTTTTTCTCAGGCCTTCAGTGGCTTTCAGGTTCTGGGACCTGTTGCCACATAAAGGTGCACTTGTCAAAAGTGGAATCTTCCCTGACTTATTTTTCTCTTAGGTACAGTTCTTTAAGCTTAAAAGCCCTTGAACACATAGTGTATAAGAAGAATGGCTCCCCACAAATCCTGGAGATATCCTGGTATAATTCAGTTACCTGCCAGTGATTAACAAGAAGAGAGTAAGAATGACGAGAAGAGTGAATCCTCCCACTGCCGCGGTGGCAATCACAAGAATCTGCCCCTGCTCCGCCATGTCAGAAGCTGAAACACAGATAAGGTATTAACATTTCCCTGGGTGACCTGTCACTGCCAAATGTTTTACAACTTACTCTATTCCTGAAAATCCAGTAATGAATACCAAAAAATTCCACCAAATTTGCCCTTTATTTGACACGTAAGATGCAGATCCAAAATGAGGGCTGAAGATTGAAGCCTTAATCTACCCATAACCCTTTCTTTTTTTACAAAAATACTAAGAAAGCAGATGGGTTCTTAGTACCCCTCATTTTAAGATTAAGCAGATTTTGCATAATTAAATAAGCAGATGAACTAAAGGATTTTGCTTATGTAATTGCTATTTCCTTGAACAGGTTTGCCAACTGTTGGGCTACGTCCATATGCTTGCAAACCCTGTAGTTGCGCATCTGAGAGACAAAGGAAAGCCAGGAGCCGGTGAAAGAAACAACAACAGTCTAGTACTGAGGGGATCTTACAGTTGGAAAGTCCTGGAGCAACACCCCATCACAGATAGCAGACAGCAGTCAGGACACAGTAGCGGTCCTCACAGTGGGGGTGGAAGTGGGGTAGCCGTTTATAGGGGGAATTGGCTTGAGGTTGGCTCATCAGTTATCAGGGTAGCCAGAAGCTGGGACAAGAATGTAGGCAGTTACTGATTAAACTCTATAATTAAGAGGATTGGATAGTCACGTGAGTAGGGTGTAAGTGAACCATGGGATGGTTGAGCAGAAGTCATATAAGAGAGCAAGAGAACTGTCATCCTGAGTGGCCTGATCATATACCAACAGATCAGACTTTACAGACTGTTACAATGTCTGTTTTCACAAAATAGAAAGGCTATTATTGCATAATTTAAGAATGTACTTCTTTACGTTTCATAGAGCTTATTTAAAAAATCAAAGTTATGAATTCCCACCTCTATAGCACAGGAGTGTACATAGTAGATGCTTAGATGTTTGACTGCTGCTGCTAAGTCACTTCAGCTGTGTCCGACTCTGTGTGACCCCATAGACGGCAGCCCACCAGGCTCCTCTGTCCCTGGGATTCTCCAGGCAAGAACACTGGAGTGGGTTGCCATTTCCTTCTCCAATGCATGAAAGTGAAGATGCTCAGCCATGTCTGACTCTGAGCAACCCCATGTACCGCAGCCCACCAGGCTCCTCCATCCACAGGATTTTCCAGGCAAGAGCACTGGAATGGGGTGCCACTGCCTCTCCCGAAGTTTGACTAGCAGTCATTAAAAAGTGAAAGTGAAAGCCACTCAGTCGTCTTCCACTCTTTGCGACCCCATGGACTATACGGTCCTTGGAATTCTATAGGCCAGAATACTGGAGTGGGTAGCCTTTCCCTTCTCCAGGGGATCGTCCCAGCCCAGGGATCAAACTCAGGTCTCCCACATTGCAGGCAGATTCTTTACCAGCTGAGCCACAAGGGAAGCTGGTCATTTTTAAATTCATTAAAAACATGATATGTAAAAGCTCCCTTGTTTGAAGAAAAGTATAGATTATATATGGTAACAGCATATAACTCCTTTCATTGACAAAACTGTACTGAAACTGCAAGGGCTGTATGTTTTCCTAACCTTCCAGGAATCTTTTTATTTAAATTAATTCACTGACACTTTTCATTCTCTGTATTACTGAAGTTTTAACAAGATACAATTTAATTGGACAGCATATGAGTAATTGCTTAGTAACAGAGGTAAAGAAACTGAACCCCAGAGAAGTTAAAGAACTTGATCCACCTCACATGTGACTATCACCAGAATTCAGATGTTAGATATTTTTAAAATTTCTCCTTCCTATACTAAAACTCACAATAATAATTCAGTTTGTTATCAATATTCTAAAGTATTAAATCAATCAGTGCCTCTAATATCCCTTAACTTGAATAAAGCTTGATTTTTATTTAGATTATTATAAAAATTATTAATTAATCAGTTGTAAGCAGCAAGCTGAACAAAAGAAAGAATATAACCGAAAAGCAAACCACTTAACTCTCTACCATAATCATTTAAATTTATTAAGCCTGAGAAAGACCTCCAAAGAAGTGGATCTTTATCTGGGAATCAAGTATGTGATAAGCTACGTGCAAGTTTATATTCATGGTAATAACTTTCTTATAAAAAGATATTTCTACTAGAGAATATCTAAACGCTAAATGCTATTGTTGAGTCAGTAAGAAACCAGTCAAGTATTTAAGAGGATTTTTAAGAAACCTAAACGTAAATAAATACAGAAATCATTTATCTTAAGGTTTTAGTAAAAAATTTACTGAACCTGGGAATCAGATGTTAGTCATTATGATTTAATCAAGATATTTTCAGGCAATCTATTTCAGTGTTGAGTTGTAGCTCACAGTCTGTATAGAACCAAGTTAAATAGTTGAATTTTATCCAATGGGTAATGTACTGAAGGTTTTTTATTAGGTCCTAACTGTATTTTCTAATCTTCAAAATAATACTGATATCATGGGAATTAATGTGTGCCTTAAAATGTCACATTTTTTTTCATGAAAATTATTGAATAACAAATTATAAGCAATAGATGTTATAGAAACTAACATTAATTTCTTGAATATGAAGGTGGCAGTTCAAAAGAAAACATTATTTACTTACAAACTGGTATATTTGTAAAATATATAGTATAGTTGAAGAATTTTAAACCTGGAACATGTATTTTCAGGGTAGCCAGGTAGCAGGGGATTTATTGAGACCATGTATTCACAGATTGAGGAGAATATTATGTAATTGACTGTCTTTGGAAAATCAGATTACCTCATTACAGAAAATTGTGTTGTTTAATTTAAATAATTGCTTAGTAAAATGCCAGTACTACTAATATATCTTCTTTTCACCCTGATGAATACATATTTATGAACTTTGCTTCAATTAAAATTTTAATTGGATAACAGATTATTAAGTTGTGACACTTTGAAAAATGTGTATTTCTGCATAATTGTTTGTTAAACCTCTGTACTAGGAATTCTAAACACCCCTCTGTGCAGAATATTGTGTGTGTATATGTACAGGAGACCAGGGTTTGATCCCTGGGTCGGGAAGATCCCCTGGAGAAGGGAATGGCAATCCACTCCAGTATTCCTGCCTTGAGAATCCCATGGAGGGAGGGGCCTGGAGGACTATAGTCCATGGGGCCACAGAGTCAGACATGACAGAGTGACTAAATGACAACAACAATGTATAATATAAATTTAAAAATAAGAGTGTATAATGTGATGCACATTTATAGTAAAATTCTGCAGATGATGGGGCTGAGGTGATTATGAAAACATTGTGAATCTCATCATCATCAATAGCCTTATATATTTAATAGTAAACTATCCACTAGTATTATGCTTAGTACTACAAATTCATTATAAAATTTATCTGCATAAAAGTCTTAATAAGTGGGTACTATTATTATTCCTAGTTTAAGTGGTTATATTACTTGCATAAGGTCGCATGCCTTGTACACAAGAAAGCTGGCCACCCAACCTTGATTTATCAAGCTCCAAGCCTGTACTTGGAGATGACTCTTTTTTTTTTTTTTCATTTATTTTTATTAGTTGGAGGCTAATTACTTTAAAATCTTGTAGTGGTTTTGCCATACATTGACATGAATCAGACATGGATTTACATGTATTCCCCATCCCGATCCCCTCTCCCACCTCCCTCTCTACCCGATCCCTCTGGGTTTTCCCAGTGTACCAGCCCCGAGCACTTGTCTCATGCATCCAGCCTGGGCTGGTGATCTGTTTCACCCTTGATAATATACATGTTTTGATGCTGTTCTCTCTAAACATCCCACCTTCGCCTTCTCCCACAGAGTCTAAAAGTCTGTTCTGTACATCTGTGTCTCTTTTTCTATTATGCATATAGGGTTATCATTACCATCTTTCTAAATTCCATATATATGTGTTAGTATACTGTATTGGTCTTTATCTTTCTGGCTTACTTCACTCTGATTAGTGGGCTCCAGTTTCATCCATCTCATTAGAACTGATTCAAATGAATTCTTTTTAACGGCTGAGCAATATTCCATTGTGTATATGTACCATAGCTTTCTTATCCATTTGTCTGCTGATGGGCATCTAGGTTGCTTTCATATCCTGGCAATTATAAATAGTGCTGTGATGAACATGGGGTGCACGTGTCACTTTCAGATCTGGTTTCCTTGGTGTGTATGGCCAGGAGTGGGATTGCTGGATCATATGGCAGTTCTATTTCCAGTTTTTTAAGGAATCTCCACACTGTTCTTGGAGATGACTCTTATGAGTCCCGTGGACTTCAAGGAGATCACACCAGTCCATCCTAAAGGAAATCAATCCTGAATATTCATTGGAAGGACTGATGCTGAAGCTGAAGCTCCAATACTTTGGCTACCTGATGTGAAGAACTGACTCATCTCATTGGAGAAGACCCTGATGATGGGAAAGATTGAAGGCAGGAGGAGAAGGGGACGACAGAGGATGAGATGATTGAATGGTATCACCAACTCGATGGACATGAGTTTGGGCAAGCTCTGGGAGTTGGTGATGGACAGGAAGTCTGGCATGCTGCAGTCTGTGGGGTCGCAAAGAGTCGGACACGACTGAGTGACTGAACTGAACTGAAGCCCATACTATTGCCACTATTTTATACCATCATTTTTACTAACAGAACAACTGGCTTGTGTGTTCTAGAACAATCATAGCCTTGCTTGACCCTGGTTTCATGTTTGTAAAAATGAGAATGTTGAATTAAATATTTTCACTTTCACTTTCAGCACAAACCTTCAGAGAAATTTTACTGTGATATTGCATTATTTACTAAGGCTGCAATCAAACACTGGGAAGAACAAAATCTGCCATTATTTGGAAATTGGGAATTCACAAAACCTGTGCTGTAGCTCTTGGTCTGGACAGGGATAATTTCTGCCTTTTTATCATATTAGTGTGGCTAATCAGAGACCTGTGATTTTATATCAGGATAAAGTTCAAAGCCCTTAATTTTGTTAACATGGGATTCTACAAATGGCTCCAGTATA